ATCTAATATCTCCATATACTACGCCTAAAGTTCTTCTCTCAGACAATGGAACAGAGTTCAAGAATCAGCGAGTAGCGCAAATATGTGCCCAGTATGGAATACAACAAAGTTTTGTGACAGCCTATCATCCACAGGCTAATGGCTTTGTTGAGAGAGCCAACCGCAAGATCCTAGAGATACTTTGTCCGATTGTGTGTGATTTGCAATACACATGGGAAGATTGGTTACCACAAATTGCAGCGTCTATTAATGGGTCGATTAATAGCTCTATAGGCGAATCACCCTACTATATTGTCTATGGTACAGACAAACGTTTGCCTTATGATGTACTTACAGACAAGCCTGGCCCTGTTAATAATATGGATGATTTTGCGGCAAAACAAATCCATGTTTTTGCGGATATTCATGGCCAAGTAAGAACACATTTAGCGGCATCACGCGCTGAAATGATTGTGAAGCAACATAAACAAGCTAAACCTGTCGTGTTGCAGATAGGCGATGCTGTTATGGTGAGAGAACCTGAACGGAACTCCAAGCTTTCGGCTAAGTTTTCGGGTCCATTCCGCATTATTGCCAAAGAAGCGGGCAACAAATTTAAAATTTGGAAGCCTAATGCACAATCGCAGATGTCGTGCATGCGGATCGTCTTAAGAAGGCCCATGAACATTTGCTACCCACAGATGGTATAATGTTATAGACACCTCTTTGCAGACAGTACAGAAGCAGAGTGTGGCTAATGAATATTGTATGAAACTTCGTTCTGCAAGCAAATATTAAAACAAATAAAAAAAATTTATGGAAAGGCTTGGATCATCAGTGTGCAGCTCCTACTGCTTTGTGGCACCGTTGTGTTGACAGACATGTCCACAGAAGTCCTCAAGCCTGGTACGCTTGTTGCACCCCTTGGACGCTTTCTCATTGTAGAGGACGTGGTGAACATAAAGTATGAGTTGCATGGACCGCTCAAGCTTCTCCGTCAGATGGAAACCGTCGACGCTCAACTACAGACAGCATTGACAGTCCATGATGATCTCCGTTCAACTCCAAATATTTCGACAATGGTTTCACAAACTGTTGAGCTTCAGCTACTTCGTCTGAGAACCCTTCACAAGTTTCTCGTCGCTGTCGGAAAAACGATACAAGCGTCTCGGGATGAACTTGCAAAGGAAGTGCGTTCTCAAACACGAAGAGAGCGGGGGTTGTTTAATTTTGTGGGTCTTATCAAAAGAGCACTATTTGGCACAGCGACTGCCGATGATGTAGCTAATTTAGGGGAACGCATGAACATTGGACTAATCGACAGCATCGTGGATGCAGGGTTAGGGCGTGTGGATGCAAAGCTTGTGCATGTGAAGACTCATCTTGAAGCATTGCAGATTGCCAAGTTGACGTATCATTTAACTCCAATTTTCAAGGATCATGAGGTGGAATACTAGTATCCTCACGCACAATGTTATCCTTATCCACATACCTATGCTAAAGCAGCATAAATTTAATGCATGGCTTTTAGAGCCCTTCCCTTGGTATGTAAATGACGCACTGTATACTCTGGATAGGCCAAAAGAACTCTTCTTTGTAGATGAAGAATATTCCTTGTTAACATTAGATGATCCTAGGGTATTATCGCGGTGTAAGTCGTCATATTTACATTTACACGTATGTCAAGCCTATGTCTTCGCATTTATTCCTGCTGCAGAAGGGATATGTGAATTGGCAGTCATACAAACTAATGTACGCACAGCGCTCACACAATGTAGCTATAGGCCAGTTAGTGTAAAAACTGTGTTTCATGCTCATCTGCATAATGTGCAGTACTTTTTCTTTCCTAATTAGACTAGTCATTTTAAAATGCCAAGATGTTGGTAAACAGTTAGTTGTGAAAGGTCGTTATAAGGCTCCAGATTACTGTGAAATAACTTGTAGTTCATTAAAGACCTTGCCTACTCATCAGCATTTTGATTTAAAATTAAATCTAACTTCGGATTTGATTCCTTTGTTTCAAGTAATGAACTTCACTATTAGTGACCTTAATATTGCCTCAGAGAAATTGACAGTTATTTCCTACTTGAAAGAGTCACAATTTGCTGATTTGAGTGATCAACTGCCATTTTAGTTTTCACGGGGATTTGCAATACCAAGTTTAACTATTCCCACTATTGTGTGAATTCTGGCAGTGATTTTTTTTTTTTGCTATTTTAAGTCAGTATCTTCCAAATTGAACATTGTACATAAAATACTAGCCTGTAAGCCACTCAAGTCTAGGACCCCAATAGTTGATGAAAAACCTACAGTTTCAGAGTAGCCAGTTTAGTGTCTACATATATGTTTGTAACATGGTAAGGTTTATGTATAGGATGTATTTTGCGTGTTTAGTTTAGTCCTCGCGGAGCTTGGAAGGTAGGTGACCGAGCAATGTAATGGCCCCTGTTTCATAAACAGAATAATTTTATAAATGGGTAATTACATATTGATTTATATACATAATCATCCCCTCTAACTTTCCACTGGCTATGAGGAGTCATCTTGATATCACGTAATCGCTAGCCTTCCTTTTAAGGTCTATTTACATAGCCTCCGTCCTTCTCTTAACACTCATAGTTACAGTGATAAGTTACGGCATTGGAACACAAGTCACCCTCACCACTCACATACAGGTTACCCACACCACTCAGATATTCTCCCTCACCAGTCACATACAAGTCAACTTCAACACTCGCATATAAGTCACCCTCACCACTCAATACAAGTCACCCTCAACAGTCATATACAAGTCAACCCTCACCTCTCACATACAAAATCACCCTCACCACTCACATACAAGTCACCCTCCAAACTCAGATAGTCACCCTCACCACACACATAGAAATCACCCTCATCACTCGCATATAAGTCACCCTCACCACTCACATAAGTCACCCCCACCACTCATAAACAAGTCACCCTCACCACGCACATACAAGTCACTCTCCAGATTCAAATAGTCACCCTCACCACTCACATACAAATCACCCTCACCACATTCATACTTCCCAAGCTCACCTATGCCTCCCCCACCTGGTCTTCCTCCCTAAATGCCACACAACGTAAACACCTAGAAAAAGTGCAAAAGAGGGCATGCAAGATTATTCTCTCCCCTTCCTACTCCACATATCAAGAAGCGCTCAACACACTGACCCTTTCGACTCTCACTGACCATCACCACGACCTCATCTGCAAATTTGGTAAGAAGCTTCTACACCATCCTCGACACCGGTTCCTACTACCACCTGAGATCCCTAGCCCGAGAATTGCTGTTCAACACCACAACCGCATCCAGCCCATACGTGCACGAACTGATCGCTATAAGAACAGCCCAGTCCCAACCATTGTAAAAATTATCAATAACTTGTAATAGACCAGTGTATTCACTCCCAGTAAATACTACTTCTTGCACTGTCACTATGTTGAAATGCACTGTAGTTTGAGCTTTTCCCCATCTAGTTATTATATATCTTATTTGTATCACTTATGTTACTTGTATATTATTTATAATTCGAAACCCATTCCCCAAATATGTAACTGTATATTTTCAGCCTTCTGGCTGCCAAGCTCTTTCAATAAACCGTTAATTATTATTATTATTACAAGTCCCACTCACATACAAATCACCCTCACCACTCGGATCGCCACCCTCTCCATTCACGGGCAAGTCAACCTCATCACTCATACACAAATCACCCTCACCACTCACATATAAGTCACCCTCACCCTTCACAAATAAGTCACCCTCACCACTCACATACAAGTCACCCTCACCACTCACATACAAGTCACCCTCACCACTCATACAAGTCACCCTCACCACTAACCACTACAACCCTCACCACTCACATACGTCACCATTCACATACAACTCACCCTCACCACCACATCAGTCATCACCACAAGTCACCCTCACCACTCACATACAACCCCTCACCACTCAGACTCAGTGTCACCCTCACCACCCTCACCACTTACATACAAGTCACCCTCACCACTCGCATACAAATCACCCTCACCACTCACATATAAGTCACCCTCACCACTTACATACAAGTCATCCTCACCACTCACATACAAGTCACCCTCACCACTCACATACAAGTCACCCCTAACCACTCACCTACAAGTCAACCTTTCCACTCACATGAAAGTCACTCTCACCACCCACATACAAATCACCCTTATCACTCACACACAAGTCACCACTCACATACAAGTCACCCTCACCACTCACATACAAGTCACCCTCACCACTTACATAAAAGTCATCCTCACCACTCACATACAAGTCACCCTCACCACTAACATACAGATCACCTTAACCACTCACATAGAAGTCACCCTCACCCCTCACATACAGCTTACCCTCACCACTCAGATAGTCATCTCACCACTCACATACAAGTTTTCCTCACCACTCAGATAGTCATTTCACCACTCGCATACAAGTTACCCTCACCACTCACATACAAGTTATACTTAATGCTCACATACAAGTCGCCCTCACCACTCACATACAAGTCACCCTCACCACTCAGATAGTCACCCTCACCACTCAAACACAAATCACCCTCACCCCTCACATACAGGTCGCCCTCACCACTCACATGCAAGTTACCCCCACCACTCACATGCAAGTCACCCTTACCACTCACATAAAAGTTACCCTCACCACTCACATACAAGTCACTCTCACCACTCACTTACAAATCACCCTTACCACTCACATACAAGTCACCCACACCACTTTCATACAAGTTACCCTCGCCACTCACATGTAAGTTACCCTCAATACTCACATACAAGTCACCCTCACCACTCACATATATGTCACCCTCACCTCTCACACATAATTTACCCTCATTATTCACATACAGGTCACCCTTTCCTCTCACATACAAGTCACCCTCACAACTCACATGCAAGTCACCCTTACCACTCACATACAAGTCACCCTCAACAACCGTCTGTGGTAGGGTTCGTGTGGGCGTACAAGCAGAGGACAGAATACGACTGGGTAGTGAAGACAGATGACGACACCTTCCTGCTGGTGGAAAACTTGCAGAAGGCGGTGCTTACCCTAGACCCAGATCAACCTCAAGCAACCGGACTTCACCTTCGCACCTGGGAGACGGTAAGAAAGAGTGTCGGGAGGGAGAGGGCCACGGTAGGCTTCACTAAATACGGCTGTGATAGTTATTTCCATAAGAGGTTTCAGTTAAATTATTTGGAGATATAAAATGCTTCATCAAATAATGATTAAACACATTTACAGTTACATAAGGGTTCAAGAAGCAAACGCTTTGGCAATTATAGGCTTCAGTAAACCTAGTAGTAACCCCAGGAGTCTTAGAATGATGTATTTAGGACACCGTAAGCTTCAGTAAGCAAATGAGTCCGTAAAGTAAAAGCTTCACTGGAATACTGTGGGCATTTAAGGCTTCACTAAACTTCCGTGGTCATCTGAGGCTTCACACGACTACTGTGGTCTTCTAAGGCTTCGCTAGACTACTCGGGTCATCTAATGCTTCACTAGACTACTGTAGCAATTTAAGGCTTCAATAGAATGCTGTAGACATCTAAGGCTTCACTAGATTATTTTGGTCATTTATGGCTTCACTAGACTACTGTAACCATCTAAGGCTTCATTAGGCTACTGTAACCATCTAAGACTTAACCAGACTACTGTGGTCATCTAAGGCTTCACTAAAGTACTGTAGCAATCTAGTGTTTCACTAGAATATTGTGGCCATTTATGGCTTCACTAGATTACTGAGATCATATAAGGCTTCACTGGGCAACTGTGGCCAACTAAGACTTCACTAGACTACTGTGGTCATCTAAGTCTTCACTAGACTACTGTGGACATTTAAGGCTTCACTAGACAACTGTGGTCATCTAAGACTTCACTAGACTACTGTGGCTATCTAAGGCTTCACTAGACAACTGTGGCCATCTAAGTCTTCACTAGACTACTGTGGACATTTAAGGCTTCACTAGACAACTGTGGTCATCTGAGACTTCACTAGACTACTGTGGTCATGTAAGACTTCACGAGACTACTGTGGTCATCTAAGACTTCACTATACTACTGTGGTCATGTAAGACTTCACGAGACTACTGTGGTCATCTAAGGCTTCACTAGACTACTGTGGTCATGTAAGACTTCACTAGACTACTGTGGTCATCTAAGACTTCACTAGACTACTGTGGTCATCTAAGACTTCACTATACTACTGTGGTCATGTAAGACTTCACGAGACTACTGTGGTCATCTAAGACTTCACGAGACTACTGTGGTCATCTAAGACTTCACTAGACTACTGTGGTCATGTAAGACTTCACTAGACTACTGTGGTCATCTAAGACTTCATGAGACTACTGTGGTCATCTAAGACTTCACTATACTACTGTGGTCATAAGACTTCACAAGACTACTGTGGTCACGAGACTACTGTGGTCATCTAAGACTTCACGAGACTACTGTGGTCATCTAAGACTTCACTAGACTACTGTGGTCATCTAAGACTTCACTAGACTACTGTGGTCATCTAAGACTTCACTAGACTACTGTGGTCATCTAAGGCTTCACTAGACTACTGTGGTCATCTAAGACTTCACTAGACTACTGTGGTCATCTAAGACTTCACTAGACTACTGTGGTCATCTAAGACTTCACTAGACTACTGTGGTCATCTAAGACTTCACTAGACTACTGTGGTCATCTTAGGCTTCACTAGACTACTGTGGCTATCTAAGGCTTCACTAGACAACTGTGGCCATCTAAGTCTTCACTAGACTACTGTGGACATTTAAGGCTTCACTAGACAACTGTGGTCATCTGAGACTTCACTAGACTACTGTGGTCATGTAAGACTTCACTATACTACTGTGGTCATGTAAGACTTCACTATACTACTGTGGTCATCTAAGACTTCACTAGACAACTGTGGCCATCTAAGACTTCACTAGACTACTGTGGACATTTAAGGCTTCACTAGACAACTGTGGTCATCTGAGACTTCACTAGACTACTGTGGTCATGTAAGACTTCACGAGACTACTGTGGTCATCTAAGACTTCACTAGACTACTGTCATGTAAGACTTCACTAGACTACTGTGGTCATCTGACTTCACTAGACTACTGTGGTCATCTAAGACTTCACGAGACTACTGTGGTCATCTAAGACTTCACTAGACTACTGTGGTCATCTAAGACTTCACTAGACTACTGTGGTCATCTAAGACTTCACTAGACTACTGTGGTCATCTAAGGCTTCACTAGACTACTGTGGTCATCTAAGACTTCACTAGACTACTGTGGTCACTAAGACTTCACTAGACTACTGTGGTCATCTAAGACTTCACTAGACTACTGTGGTCATCTAAGACTTCACTGAACTACTGTGGTCATCCTAGGCTTCACTAGACTACTGTGGTCATCTAAGACTTCACTAGACTACTGTGGTCATCTAAGACTTCACTAGACTACTGTGGTCATCTAAGGCTTCACTGGACTACTGTGGTCATCTAAGACTTCACTAGACTACTGTGGTCATCTAAGGCTTCACTAGACAACTGTGGCCATCTAAGACTTCACTAGACTACTGTGGTCATATAAGGCTTCACTGGGCAACTGTGGCCATCTAAGACTTCACTAGACTACTGTAGTCATCTAAGGCTTCACTAGACTACTGTGGACATTTCAGGCTTCACTAGACAACTGTGGCCATCTAAGGCTTCACTAGACTACTGTGGCCGTCTATTGCTTTATGAGACTACTGTGGCCATCCAAGGTCAATTAAGGCTTCACTGGACTTCTGCGGCCATCTAAGGCTTCACTAGACTACTATAGTCATGTAAGGCTTCACTAGACTACTATAGCCATGTAAGGCTTCACTAGTCTACTGTGGCCATCTAAGGCTTCGCTAAACTACTCTGGCCATTTAAGGCTTCACTAGACTATTGTGGTCATCTATTGCTTCATTAGACTACTTTGGCCACTTAGGGCTTCATTAAACAACTGTTAAGACTTCACTGGACTTCTGTGGTCATCGAAGGCTTCACTAAACGCCTGTCATGTAAGGCTTCACTAGACTACTGTGGCCATCTAAGACTTCGCTAAACTACTCTGGCCATCTAAGGTTTCACTAGACTACTGTGGTCTATATACTACTGTGGTTTCACTAGACTAATGTGGCTATTTAAGGTTTCACTAGACTACTGTGGCCATCTAAGGCTTCACAAAACACAAATCTGGCCATAGAAGACTTAACTAATACAGTTGTGATCTCCAGTACTTTCTACAGGGTGCTTTACTTACCCTTCTACTTTTTGCAGGGCAATACTATATCCAATGTGTTTTACTTACCCTTCTACTTTCCACAGAGCAGTACTTACCTGAACGGTGGTGCGGGTTATGTCTTGAGTCGGGGCGCTGTCACCAGACTGGTCGAGGAGGGCATTAATGGTCGTGTATGTAGCGACCACCTCAACTTTGGACCCGGAGAAGACGTCAACATGGCCGACTGTCTCACTTATCTAGGTTGGTTAAGTCAAGGATTTTAATGCTAGAGGAGGATGGCCCAGTCCTATAGGTGAACGCGTTCACCGCCTAAGGTCGCCGCAGCCAAGCAGCTGGGGAGGAGTAAACTAAATAATTACCAGGCAAGTAATAAAGGCGGGAGGACGAAAATTTCGGCGAAATCACGATTTTCTTTTGTTTTGTGCTTTTCTTTGTGACAGTTGCAATAGAGCCTTGGTACTGTGCAGCTATCAATTTCTCTGGCAACTCGTTAAGGAACATAAACACTATACCTACTTCTGTCAATGCTGACTTTTTTGTTCATCTAATATACTATCTACCTAATATACTATAGGAATAGCCGTGTGTCTGTCTGTCTGTCTGTCTGTGTGTCTGTTCTGGGCAGCCGAAACGGCACAATCGTTTTTCATGAAACTTGGTGGAAAAATCGCAAAAAAAATCGTTGAGTGGAACAAACCTGGTCCCATGTCTATGGTTTCTTTAGGAAGCCATTAATTAACCATTCTATTTACGCTGGAAAACGATGCAAGTCTACGGACTTGGCGCACCCTCATTCGCTGGACGCTGTCAGCCCACGATTGCAGTTATCGTACGGCTCCCTCCTCCTCCCCCCCTTTTTCTCTTAGCCTACCTTTTTTTAATATTGTTTGGATTAGTAAAGGAAGGAAGATGAGTAAATAGAAGAATAAAGAAGGGGAAACAGAAAATAGTTAAGAGATAACAGGTGGGGGGGAGCTAAGTTTCATCATGCGTCTGGATGCGCAGTTTCAACGTTACCAGACCATTTGAGGACCTTACAGCTACAGTGTGTACAGTATACTTATTCCTGTGGCTGACTGTACATGGAAAAGGAGAAGAGAGAAAAAGATAATAACAGGAATGCATGGAGAAGATAGAAAGGGAGAAGAGAAGGAGAAGAAGAGAGACTGAAGCATTATTATCCTTAAGAGGGGAGCGAGGAAAGAAGATGGGAGAAAGGGATAGTGATAGGTGGAGGGATGGAAGGACAGAATCAGAATGGTATAGAAGGATAGTAGAGAAGGAGACAAAGGAAGGACAGCAATAAGTAAAACAAAAATCAGAACAAGTATTTGGATGATAACTGTATGGATATTATGTATGCTGTATGTATATTATGTATGTATATTATGTATGTGCTCCATTTATATACACTATTTATTCAGCCTAGCTAGCAGCGTGTGGCAATGTATTTACCATGTCCCACACGCTTAATTAATGTGCCTGGCGACATATGGAAGCTGTTAATGTATCACTTGCCACATGTCGCCTAGAAGCTAGTTGACCCCCATACAGAGTAAGGAGCGCCACCTCCCTTGTGTACATATCTGTTTATCCGGTAAATAGAACCTATGAAAACTCTACAGGTGTTTGTGTTCGCTCCTGTAGATAGAACTTGATAACCAGAACACATACATGGCGCAGTGTGTCATTTTGCTGGATAATTATACAAGTGAAGTGCAAAGTTTGTGGCAAGACCGGCTTATGGACCCCTGCTCTGTGTCAACCACCGCTAATGGCCGTCTCCACCAAGAATTTATAGCAACTTTGAGCAGTGTCAGTGACAGTGATTTCCTGTGAAGTGTATAGTGCATTGTGTGTTTAGTGCCATAACTGTGTGACCTTGTTCTACAGGATTCCCAAGGTGTAAGGCATGTTCAGGGCATGTGTGAGGAGTAGAGTTCATTACACCTCGACTCCACCCCCTCACGAGTGAGATTTGCCGAGACGCGCACATACACACACACGTACGAACACACTGGCTGGCCATTCCTTTTATATATTTATATATATACATCTACTGTCTGTGCATTTAATTAATTTTGTCTCCAGATCTTGTTGATACGACAGGCTGACCGGTCAACACTGATTTAAGACACAGTACACAGATGAGAAGTAGTATGTGCGTGCCTTACGCAGTCGTGGGCCAACGCCTGGATGAGTCAGTCGGATGACAGCTCAGCAGGGAATGGATGACCAGGCTGAACAGGACGCTCCAGCTCCCACCACATCGCGCACTTCAGCGTTGTCTTCAAGAGATAATTGATTTAATGAAAGTTTATGAGGGATGAAAGGCGTGCGACTTTGCTAAAAGACGTGTGGAGGACGAAAAGAAGGACAGCAGAACGAGAGAGACCACCAACGGAGATTGGAAGACAGTGCACGGTTTTTGAAAGCTTTGATATCTCGCCTCACTGTTAACCAAGACCTAGCTCTAACACTGCCTCGGTATTGACTGGTTCGAATGCCTCATCAACGCTTTTCTTCGCCCCCAACCCCACCTAAAGCGGCAACAAACACCTCCCATCTTGAAGCCTGATGTGAATTCCAGACTTTTCGTGAATGGCGGCGACGGTAGACTGATTATGCTACAATGGTGGATCTCCAAGTTTGTCTGGCCTAAACAACTTATTTAGCTGCATATGTGCCTGTCTTTGGAAGCTCAGTGTGTCTTGGAACATACGTTGCAGGTACCTCCGACCTCTTCGTTGTCTGTAGAGGTGCTGGATATTCTACAACGGCACATCAAAGGGCAGCGGAATGAAGCCTCTATGCAGGAGATTGTTTAGCTGCCCAGACAGGCCAGAGGTGAGGCTTTTGATGCTTTAATAACGACTCAGAGAGCCTCCGGAAGAGGTAGATATATATGCCCAGGTAACCACCAGCAGTGCGAGGAGGGCCCAGTTGAAGCAGGTATTGATCTGATGGAGTGTTAGGACGAGGAGCTTGTCCAACGCCTCACCTCCCTCGACTCTTCCTCTTCTCTTAAGGATGTGTTGACAATATGTCGCTCCTATGGGGCTGCCAGGTGTGCCACCTCTGCCATCGAAGCTCCCCCTACAGCTGTACGCGCTGTGTCCCCGGTACAGAAAAGGACAAAGTCTACTAACGCCTTCGCCCACTACGCCGACGCCCGGTTCCTTTTGTGGCACAACTGTGGTAAGCAGCATGGAACACAGGCGTGCCCAGCTGCTGAATCTACTGCAGCAGTTGTGACCGTAAGGGCCACTGGTCACTCACAGTACGGTGCCCAGCTAAAGCGCGTCCAGTGCAATGTGTGCGGTCGTCTGAGCCACTACGACAAGTGTTACTACCAACAAACCCAAGGAGACATCGGCAGAAGCAGCAACGCCCTTCCACCAGTGAGGCCGCCCACATTCGATCACTCCAAGCATGTCGACCTGGACAACGCTCGAGCCATATTAGGAAGGTGTGCTCCCTTCGTCCCAGGACCAAAAGTTCCCAAGCACATCAACGTCATCATGACCTACAACAGTGTGTCATCCCGTCTTCAGATGTTGCCCGTCACGGCGCTGATGCTACAGTCATCGGTCCCCAGCATTTGCAATGCTTGGGGCTCTCTCCCAAATGGGACCGCCAGCCAGGATCTCCGCTTCACGGCAAGATGGTTCACCAAGATGGCCCCAGCGAAAGGTTCACTCTATGCACAGGTCTGCTTGGCAACAGGTCGTGTCAAGCCTGGATTGATGGTAACATAACGGTGTCCCCGACTCCTTTGCTGTCCTGAACATTGTCAAAAGTTGGCCATCATCTCCCAGGGCTTCCCCAAAGCCTATTCTCGAGTAAAGCTACGCAGCAGGGTGCACGAAGAGGAGCAACAACTGCCCTGCTGCCGCCCTACCTGCCTCTTGCCCAGTGACACCTCTCCTTTGGATCATTCGGAGAGTACTTCCTGAAGAGATTCAGCGACATTCTGATGGTCACTCTGGAATCAAGCCTCTCCAAATTATGGTAGGCCCCCCATATGTGAGATCCACTTGAGGGACGACGAAGCCCTTCGCTATCTACACCCCTCGACTGGTCCCCTGGCTTCCGCAGGGCAGTCAAAACGAAGCTGGACTCCATGATTAAACTCAGAAATTATTGCGCCAGCCAGAAGGCAGTGACCGTCTCCATGGTGTGTGTCACCCTATGGTAATCGTCACCAAAACCTAAAAGGTGTTCGGATCACCATGACCTCTCCAAGCTCAACAGCCAGGTGTCTCGTCCTGCGCACTGGGAGTGTGTCATAGGAGAAGATCAGCTAAAACTAATGGCCATCACTTTTGGTAGATTTTGTGTATATAAACAGAAAATATTTCAGTTTCAATATTTTTGCAACCTTTTTGCTAGTGGGGTACAGCGTGAAATTTATGAAAATCTAGCGTACATGCATTAGTGCATTACAATTAAATAGTGAACATTGCTTTTCTGACTTCATTTAACAACCCAACTAACAATATTTTTTTCTGTTTCAAGATTCTGGTGCATTATAAGTTGATAATATTTGCGATGGCTGCTTGTGTCAGGACGAGGCAAAATCAGCCATCTCAGTCACTATCTTGGGTCTGGGAGAGGCTCCTGAAGTCAGGTTGCCTACATTGAGATGCTTTGAGATGCAGTGTTTTTAATCAGGCAAATCAATTGAAAAGAACAGAACACACAAACAAAGACATTGCCAGTGATATGACCAAAGCTGTCTTGGCACAGTACACTCTGGCTAACGCTCAGTTCAAGCCTCAGTCATAACAAGTCAGAAGAAGATTAGTGAGAGAGACTGGCTTTAGCCAGTTGGAAAGAGCAAGAATATCTCTCTTGGAGAGAAAAGCTTTTGCAGTTAAGGACAGCTTTGCCAAGCAACTGGACCAGTTATTTGACATAAGAACTTTAAGAACGAATTGTTCTCCTATCTGGTTTGGATGCGATCGTGACTGTAAATCCGAGGCCCACATCTCCTGTGTTGCAAGCGTGAACTGAAATTCCTTGTGATCGAACTGGCATTTGTCAAAGCACAGAAGAAGACTGGCATTATAGGGGCTCTCGCGATTTCTAGCCAAGATATTCCGGAATCAAGAGACGGGAGGCTGCCACAGAGAGACAGAAGAGGAGAAGAGTTGCCGAAAAGAGACTTGAGAAGGCCCAGGTGAGGTAAAAAAGGCCGATGATTGAGTCAAAGCTGATTTGAGTTTAATGACTTCCCC